TCGAGACCTTTCATTTGAGTACCCACATGAATTTTTCATATATTTATATATATTATAAATATGTATATATGAAAAATATATCAAAAATACAAGTGGGTACTCAAATAAAAAGTTTCAATGAGTGTAACATCAAGATGAGCTTATATTTTTAAAAATATCATAAGTTGACAAAATATAATGTAATTTCTTAATTATTGACATTTCTGAAAATATAAGCTCATTTTGATGTTACACTTATCAAGACCTTTCAATTGAATACCCACATGAATTTTTCATATATTTTATATATTTATATATATATTACATATATGTATATATGAAAAATATATCAAAAATACATGTGGGTACTTAAATGAAAGGTCTCGATGAGTGTAACACAAAAATGAGCTTATATCTTTATAAATATCATAAGTTGAGAAAATACAATGTAATTTCTCAATTATTAACATTGAGACCTTTTATTTGAGTACCCACATGAATTTTTCATATATTTCATATATTTACATATGTATATATGAGAAATATATAAAAAAAAGTCATGTGGGTACTCAAATAAAAGCTCTTGATGAGAATAACATCAAGATGAACTTATATTTTAAAAAACATCAATATATAGTTAAGAAATTACAGTGCAATTTAATAAAATTCACCTGCAATAAATCTCTCAAACGCTCGTTGTAAATTTCCAGGTAACTCAGCAGCGCCAGGTACCGAGTATCAGAACTAGCTGTCGAAGTCGCCTCAAATATGTGCTCCAGAGTGCGTTCGATGAACCCGTGCATCGTGTGAGACTTTCCACACCCCGTTTGCCCGTACGCAAACACGGTCCCATTGTATCCTTCGAGAACTGCTTCGACGATCACCGAACCCACGTCTTCGTAGACCTTCTCCGTGGAAGATTCCGAGCCAAAGGCCGCGTCGAATTGGTACACTTTTCCTGAGCCTCCAGTACCTTCGAGGGTGCAATTTTTCGAAAGTGGGTCGATGGTGACGGCATTCTGGAATAAGTGTTATTTTCTTTATCTGGGTTTTTAATCTAGAGCGTAAATGGTTACAATCGATCGCACTCCCACGTTTCTTTGCTAGGAGACAAACATACCATGTGCATCTTTGACAGAAATCGATTAATTGGGTATAAACTACCTGCTATGACATTTTAGCTGTTATGTCGATCTAAACTGGAATATTAAATTTTTAAATCGATCTTTACATACTGAAACTAATTAATTATTAGGGGAGTTTGCAAGTTCACAATCGTTATGACCCTGATATGTCGCAAGGACAATTGATATTATGTTCTAAGTCTAGACTATAAATTGTATACATGTAAGTTTTTAAATTACTGGGTAACAGGCTTTTAATTTACGGAAGAAATATTATTTTATTATTTCTTCTTTTAATAATTAATTGTTGCTAAATATTTTATGACTAAATTTATAAAAAAACTTTTTTTTTTTATAAGAAGAAATCAAAGAAGAAATTTCAATTTATTAAAAGAAGAAATATTAAAATAATCGCTAAATATTCTATGACTAAATTTATATAAAATTTTTTTTAAAAAAAGAAAATTAAAGAAGAAATATCATTTGATTAAAAGAAGAAGAAATAGTAAAATAATTGCAAAATATTTTACGACAAACTTTATAAAAAAAATCAAAGAAAAAATATCATTTTATTAGAAGAAGAAATAATAAAACGATATCGCTAAATTTATAAAATTTTTTTTTTTTAAAAAAAGAAGGTCAAAGAAGAAATATCATTTGATTAAAAAAAAAAAGAAAATCAAAGAAGAAATATCATTTGATTAAAAAAAAAAAAAAAAAACGAAATATCATTTTATTAAAAGAAGAAATAATAAAATGATATCGCTAAATATTTTATGGTTAAATTTAAAAAAAATTTCTTTTTAAATGAAAGAAGAAATATGATTTTATCAAAAGAAGAAATAATAAGATGATATTATTGCTAAATTTATAAAAAAATTTTTTTTGTAAAGAAATTACTTCTAATTTTAATATATGTAATTTAAATGATTTGAATGAAATATATCATTAAATTGTGTAATTATTTCACTTATAATATTATTCATAAATTAATCGTAATATTATAATGCAAAACAAATTTATTAATCCAACTGGTTTGTCTAAAGTGTGGTTATGTAATGATTGTGTCATAAATCAAAATCCAGATTGTAAAAGTAACCTCTTTTTTATCATAACGTATTGAGAAATTACTCAAAGTGTAATGATGGTTTTTAATAATGACTTTATGTCACGCATCGAATCATCTAGAAAAAACATAATTTATGATAAATATTAAATTATAATACTGATTTATTAATAATAACTTATCTGTAAAATAAAGAATTTAAATATTCTTATCTTAACTGAAAAATATCAAATTAAATAATTCATCTGCATTAAATAATAAATAAATTTTTAGTTTGTTCCATAAATATTAATAAAAAAATGTTTTGTCTAGAATTTATCTTAACAATAGGTCACTATTTCATCGATTTAAATTCCTAGAGTTCACCAGAGGATC